TATTACATTTTGATCATCCTCTATTAATGTCATTTTTGTTTGTTTGTATCAAAATCTCCAAATTCATAGTTGCAGTTTTGCAATAATGTTGTTATGTGTTCATACTACCGATTCTCATTTTCAGGTCTTTGATTTGCCTTGAAGAATGAGATTTTTTAAAGCTTTTCTTCAAAATTACAGACTTATTATCTCCTTGAATTCATTTGTTATTTAGCATTTTTATCCCCAGGCTGGATTTGCATATAGGCGAAAAACGATTCCACAATGTTATTGAGCGTATACCCCTCCAAGCCATTGTCAAGTTTTGAATGCCAAACTTGCATACATTCTGATTTCTGAGCTAAACTGGTATCCGAGATTCGATCCATAATGTGCTCTGATTTATACTAAATTTATTTTTTAAATATTATCCCAAATTCTAATTTTACAACTTTCTAAAGTCTTTTAAAATACTACATATTTAAATATTTTGGGATTCTGATATCCACAAATATCATGAATTCATGATTTATGGGCGGATAACCATATATTCGGATCTGGGTAGTTATTATAAATTTATAACACATATCTTAAAAATCTAAGATACTATGAAACCGTTTCCGCCCTAAGTGTATTATCAATAACTAGTTCATTGATTAATTTTAGCTGGAACTTTATTGTAGTTTTTGTTTTTGTTTATCTATTCGGGCAAAATACTTAAATATAAAACATTTGTATAATTCTAAGAATAGAAAGTTAAGGAAAAATATAGTATTAGCACCCATGGCAATGACAATCCACAAAACGATGTTTTTTTTTTTTTAGTTTTAATTTTGGTAACGAAAATCCACAAAGATTCTGAATGATGAAGTTTGACCCTCAAAGAGCTCCTGAAAAGTTGGAGGATTAACTTAAAAACTAATTGTGCGTACGTACCAAAGTCATTTTTATTGAGTTAAGATACCTATATGAATTGTTATGATGCAAGACTACACATGTGCATTCTTATTGTTTATCCGTGATACGAGATTGTTATTATATCATCAGTAGATGGTTTAAATAGCAAAAAAAGAATTCAAATTAAACTATTTATAACACAACAAGAAAGAGTCGTACATAAATTTACATGTCTCTCATGGTCACTAGTGTTTCTAGCAACACCTCTCATGTGTAATATGTCCACTGTTGTTTATCTTAACGACAAAAATTTGTTTTCGCCACCATTGTCGCTAAAGTCATTGTCACTTATTGCAGCGATTTATAGACGGATATAAACCCCTAATCAAACCTTGTTAATCTTTTTGTTTTGTACATATAGATTATAGAGCAATATCAAATCTGAAATTCATTAGATAGAAAACTCAAAAAGATTGTGATATTGGCGCATCTATAAGAGAAGTCATGTTAACTTTTTGTTCAGCATTGACATATTGACCCCAATGTTCTCATGCTCGAGTTTATATGTAAATTGAGATTCAGAAGATTT